ATATATATATATATATATATATATATGTAAATATTTATGTAAATAAATAAAATATATTAATCTATATACTTGTAATATATAATAATTCAATTGCACAACTTTTTCTCTTATAGATTCTGGTAAATGGATAGCACATAATTCAAAATCAGATAAGAATAATGTTGCAACATGTTTATCTACTACAGATGTTTTTTGAATATCTTCATTATATATTACGTGTTTCAATGCATTATATAGTTCACGATGAGTATTTAATCTAAAAAAATTTGTAAATAATTTTTATATTTTTTTGAAAAAATTATAAATATTTATTAATTATTTAATATTTTTAAAAGTAATTACTTCTCTACAATACCACTAACAGAGAGACAAGTTTTTTCTGCAGCTGAACAAACTGTTTTTGTGGATGTGCAATTCTAATAAACTCTGCTAAATCTGCAACTTTACACAATGTATCAGACATATCATCAAAAATTTCTACCATTTTTCGTTTTCTATTCTGACTCATAGCTTCTGCTATAAGTGCATCTGTTTGAGATATTGCTTGATCTCTTAAAACATTAAATCCTTCTGATGTTTTTAATTCAGATATTCCAAATAATCCTATAAAAAAAACATTAAAATTTTAAAACTTAATATATTTATATGATCAATTATGAATATTTTAAAAAATATATATTACTCACAGTTTCTTTTCTTAAAAAATCAAATCCATATTTTTCTTATTAATAGAATTGAATGCTGTTGCAAGAGATGACCATGTATTTACATTTCTATGTCTTTTATAATTTCTTGGAAATTGTTTTTTCAACATTTGAATCATTTTTTATAATATACTAAAACTTTTCAAAAATTATTATATTCATTTAAAATATTATAAGTTAAAACACAATTTAAAGAATTTTCATGTAAATAACATTTAAATATTAATTTAAATCATAATGATAAAACATGTAATTAAAATTTTTTTAAGCAATAGAATAATTCGTATATAAAAACAAAATAAATAAAATAAATTATTAACAAATTATTTAATCTTTATTTTCACATATAGTCATATAGTTATTTGATTGTATTTTTAATATTTAATATTTATTTTAATTTAAATTTTATTATTATTTTATTTTTTATGAAATGGCAAAAATGTTTTTAAAAGTAAAATAAGTTTGTTACTGTACATTTACATTGTACATTAGAAAATGATATGCTAAAGGTTATAAATATATAGAATGATTTATATAGTATACTTAATACAAAGTAACAATCTTAGAATACGTGATTCTAATTTTGACTGGATGATGGCATTACTGTGATTTTAACTAAATCTGTAGTTAAAAATGGTGTTACAAATAAAAATATAAATTTTCATTAGAATTATATAAAAATAAAATTGAAAGTGAAAATGAAGAAAAAACAGAATAGATGTGTTTTAATAAAAAAAATATTCAATTTATAAAATAAATTTTTTTTGATTGATAAAAGTTCAAAAGTTTTTGATTTAAGAAAGATTTATTTATTGAAATAATTTATTAGATAATTCGATTTTCTATTAAAAATTTTAAGGTTATATACTTACGAATATAAATGGTGAGAAAATTAATTTTTTCAATCATATGCAGTTGTTTGAACAAAACGAATATAATAGATTTCTATATGTCAAGTAGAAGGGATACAAGTATATGTATTATATATTCTTGTATATTATTCAAGGATATATTTTATATTATTCATATATTATTTGACATTACTTAATTTATTTCGTAATAATTTTTTTAATTATATAATTAGATATATTTTTATTTTTGATTTTATTGAATTGTGTAATTTTTTCAATTATGTTATTTTTTTTATATTTATTATTGTTATTTTTATGTATAATAATCTTTCATAATATTTGATTTTTATAAATTATTCTTAAATTAAATTGCAATATCATATAAAATTAATATATATATGTATTTTTATATATATATATATATATATATATATTATCGAATTCAGGTTTATTTGAAATCTATTTTTTATTTTTCATTTATATTTATCTTATCTATAAAATTAATCCTGTTTTTGTTTTCTTGCAGTCTAATTCTATGATATGTGAAGATTTATTCACTGCTGTTAAACAATTAGCAGATAGTGAGATTGAATTAATAAAGACTATAGAAAATTCAAAGAAAATAAATAATATTAAGAATATTAAAAATACTATGTCTACGACAGATAAGAAAAGTGTCAAAAAGTCTACAAAAGTATTCAATGTAAATATAAAAATCATAAAAGAATAATTTAATGATAATTGTAAATTTTTGATTTTTTCATTTGATTAGGTTCGTCCTTCTGCTGCTTTAATAGCAGCTAAACGTGAAGCAGCTCAACAACGTATATTACAAGAAAAAAAATCTAATAATGTTTTTATACATGATATATATCAAAAAGCTATTGATGCATATAATATAAAAAGAATGGAAACTGGTATTGTATTTGATCATTCTATGGCAGAACATAAATGTCTTTGGGATTTAAATTATCCAGAATGTCCTGCTAGATTGATAAGAGTTTTACAGAGATGTGAAGAATTGGGCTTAATAAGTAGATGCAAGTTGATAACACCAAGATTAGCTTCAGAGAATGAAATACTTATGAAACATAGTCAAGAACAAATAGATATTTTAAAGAGTACTGATGGATGTACAGATACAAATAATTTAGAATTATTATCATCAAAATATGATGCCATTTATATACATCCTGTATGTAAATAATTATTAATTATGAAGTAAAATATTATATTCATTTTAAATATTTATATTTAAATTATTTAAAATTGCTCTAGTCTACTTATCGATTGTCTCTGTTAGCTGTGGGTTCAACAATAAATTTAGTAGAAAGCATTTGCAAAGGAGAAATCCAAAATGGAATGGCTATTATAAGGTAAAAATACATATATACATATATTTCAAAAAATAATATATTTCAAATAATCATATATAATTTATTTAAAAAAAAGCTTTTTTGAGCATGTTTAATAATAATTTTAAATTAAATATATATAATATATATTATGGTTATTTAAGTTCATTTGATTCATTTAAAAAATAAAATTTTGTATGTTAAACATATGTATTAATTATTTTAAGTATTTTTTGAATAATTATCTTTGAGTATTGTGTATATTATATATACATTTAATGTTATGAAGAAATCATTTTAACTTTTAGAATAAATTAAAAAAAAAAATTATGAATATATACTATAAATTATAAAAATATTATAAAAAATTTTTGTTCCTTAAATAATAATAAATGAACTAAGATCCATAATGCACATATATAATTTTTTTATTTACAATGATTTAACATGTTGGTAAAATTCTTAAATTTTTTCTAAAACATCCAGGAAAAAAAAATATTAATGTTATTTTTTCCATTTTCTATAATATTTTCTAGACCACCAGGACATCATGCAATGAAATCAGAATATTGTGGATATTGTTTTTTCAATAATGTTGCAATAGCTGCTGAAAAAGTTTTATGTAATAATTTAGCTAGTAAAATTTTAATTGTTGATTGGGATGTACATCATGGACAAGCTACTCAACAAATGTTTTATGATAATCCACAGTATGTAAATATTTCTATAAACATTCTATTATCTATAAATATTATAATAGTATAAATTTTATTATTATAAATTTTATATATAGAGTAATTTATTTCTCTATTCATCGTTACGAAAATGGCGAATTTTGGCCAAATCTTAGAGAATCTAATTTTCATTTTGTTGGAGATGACTTAGGAGAGGGATATAATTTTAATGTGCCACTTAATAAAATTGGTATGACTAATGCTGATTATTTAGCTATATTTCAACAAGTTTTATTGCCAATGGCCTATGAGGTAAAAATATTACATTATTATAATTTATTTTAAGTAATATAAATTTAAGTAATATAATTGTAAAAAATATTAATATAAATTCTGAATATGATTTTTGAAAAAAGATCATTTTTAATTATTACAGTTTCAACCAGATCTTATAATAGTATCAGCTGGTTATGATGCAGCTTTGGGTTGTCCAGAGGTAAAATATTTATTTTTCTTATAATTTGTTTTTATTTTAGTTTAATTCAAATCTTATCATTATCTGGATTTAATTTATTGATTGAAAATGAAAAAGTTGAAATATATACATGATATTTCAGAATAAATGATATGAGAGAATAATTTTACATATAAAAATATATAATAATAAAAAAAATATTTTTTATTTTTATTTTCGAGTTTGAAAATTTATTATTTAATTAATTTTCAATTAAATAATTGGGAAAAAAATCATCATAACATAAAAATAAACAAAGGATAAAAAAAAAATTAATTTTAACGAAATTAAAAATTGAAAAATTCGTTTAATACAAATATTTGGTTACTTTTTAACTTTATATATTATATTCAAGGATGAAAAAATTAAATGTATATAACATATACAATAAACTTTTATTAATAATCTTCAAAATTAGCTAAATTCATTTATAAAATTGTAAACTGATACACTTTGATTATTTATTTATTTGTTTGTTGACTTTAATTCATTCACTTAATTTTATTCACTTAAAAAATTTTCAAGTTATTCTCTTTCTTTGAGTTACAAAACATTGTATATTAATGAAGTATGTGTCTGAAGAATTTTAATATTTTTGTTTTGTTAATATTTAGGGTGAAATGTTGATAACACCAGCATGTTATGCTCATTTACTATCATCATTATTATGTTTGGCTTCTGGAAAAGTTGCTGTTATATTAGAGGTACAAAATATATTTTCATTCTATTATTAAATTTTATTATATATTTATAATCTTTCAAATATATTATTTTCATTATATTTTTTATTGCAGGGTGGTTATTGTTTAAAGTCATTAAGCGAAAGTGCAGCATTAACATTGCGTACTTTGTTAAATGATCCATGTCCTATGTTAGAAACTCTTACATTACCTTCAATAAGGTAACTAAAAATACAAACATGTATAATCCTTAATCATGATTATATATACTTAATATAATTTTAGTATACGTGATACAATTTTGAATACAATTTATACACATAAACCATATTGGAAATGTTATCAATATCAAGATACATATAGTATTAATAGTACATCAAATAATAAAGAAGAAAATACTAATCAATATTTACCTGTAGTTATATTCAAGTAAGAAATTAAATTATTTTTAATAAAATTTTTTATTATTATTTTTAATTATATAAATTTTTATCTACTTTAGAGAAACTGATGTTAGGCCAAAAGTATATGAAACTCAAAATTGTTATCCAGTTCAAACTCAAGAAATTATTGAAATAATAGAAAAGCAACTGAATACATTAATACAATGTAAGTATCTCTAATTTAATGATTATAATTATATAATATATATATTATGTATATATATAATAATATAAAGTTTATAAATGTAAACTTCTTTTTAGTTACTAATTTGTCTAAAGCACCTAATAAAGTATGTATTGTTTATGATGATAGAATGCTAAAACATTACGATATATCTGATGATAATCATCCAGAAAAACCACATCGTATTAATATTATTTA